GTGACAGTAACCTCAGATGCTAGCCTATTAGGATGGGGAACCCATCTACAGTGTCAACTAGCACAAAGACAATGATCCCCAGCGGACCTGAAACACAATATAAACTGGTTGGAACTCTAAGCAATTCCTAAGGCAATTCTATCGCACTGTCTCAGGCCAGCATGTATTGATCCTGACGAGCAATGTGGCGGCCAAAGCACATGTCAACCAACAAAGAGGGACCCACTCAAGGTCCCTCATGAGTGAAGCAGAACAACTGGGAATCTGGGCAGAAGCTCACTTTGGCCATCAAGGTAGAGCACATATTGGGTGCAACAAAGGCACAAACAGATTACCTGAGCAGAACCAAGGTGGACAACTCTGAGTGGCATCTCCACCCGGATCTCTTCAAGGAAATGTCCCAGAAATTTGGAAGGCCGAACTGGACCTGTTTGCCACTCCCAGCTTCCCCGATTCTTCTCCAGGTTCCCAACTCTGGGTGCAGAAGGGGTCAATGCCCTTTACAGCCAATGGCCCAATGGCCTATTATATACCTTCCCTCCTCCAGAGGTGATACGGAATGTGCTACTTGAACAGGTGGAAATTCTACTCATTACTCCCCATTGGCCCAAATGGTCACGGTATGCAGGTGTGGTAAGCATGTCGGTGTCCTGTCCTTTGAGAATTCCTCAAAACAGGATTTCCCTCAGCCAGGGGGTCTTGGAACATCCAGATCCTCAGTGGCTCCAATTGGCCACCCTGCACTTGAGGATCCTGAGGAAGGACAATTTCTCACGGAAGGTAATACAGATGATCCAGGCGTCCAGGAAACCTTCCACTAACAGAATCTATCTACCTGGAAGATGTTCTGTAAGTGGTGTGCCAGGGGAGAGACGGATTCCACGGTGACCTCTATTTTGCAGATCCTGGACTTTTTATAGGACGGACTCGACAAGCACCCTACGCAGACAAATGGCCATCTTGTCCACTGTGCTGTGCTACCTGACATTGAAAGTCGCCTTCTTAGTGACTATCACCTCGGCCAGGCACATATTGGAACTGGCAGCTCTTTTTGTCAGAGAAGAACTTTGCACCTTCCACACAAACAGAATAGTTCTGATTGTCCTACTGGATTTCTGCCCTCCATCTCACGACCTGGAGCACAGATGGCACACTCTGGATGAAAGGAGGGCAGAGTCAGATATATCAAAAGAACATCATCGTATCGCATAACTGAAGCCCTGTTTGTCTCATTTTAACTGTCTTCCATGGATACCAAGGTCTCACCATCAACCATAGGCTGTTGAATAAGGGCTTGTATAGCCAAGGCCTACGAGACTCAAGCTCTTCCTGTACCCAGATGAGTAACCTTCCATTCAAAGTGCAGCTATGACAGCTGCATGGGTGACGCATCTGCAGGGCGGCGATATGGTCCTGTCTCCCTTCGTAAGGCACTACAAACTGGACACATTTGCCTCCGCAGAGGCGGCTTTTGAACTACGAGTTCATACAGACGGGGGGATCATAGGACCAGACTGCTTCCCACCCATAGGGACAGCCAGTTTTGGTATGTCCCATGTGTGTGGATTCTCCAGTAGGCATGCTGGAGAACAGGCATTGGCTTACCTAAATGCAGTTTCTCAGCATGCCTTTGAAGAATCCATTCCCACCCTGGCAGCTGTCTGGTCCAGCGTCCAGATGGGAGGCCAAGCCAATACTGCAATGACGATCATCAGGTGGTTGCGCTTTCTTCATGACTGGGGGCTTACTGGCCCTGACAGGAAGAGGCATGGCAAAGATTGATGACTCAGTCTCTGGACAGAAAGGCAGACTCAACCCATGCGTGTGGATTTTCCAAAGGCATGCTGAGAAACTGCATTCAGGTAAGGTAACACCTGGTTTCAATAATGGACTGGATGTGGTAGAACAAAAATATTTAATTTAAAAATAAATCCAGGTAGAATAGTGATGCTATTATTATGTAAGGAAATTAGAACACCGTAGTGAACAGTTCATCCTCTTTTGAGTTGAGTTGTACACTCCCAAAGCAGACTGGGAGCTCTCTTTGATGCTTTGCCATGGAGGATTTGCAGTAAGCTTTCTATGAAGAAGCATCTTCATTTAATTATGGCCACTGTATCAGCTACAATTCTTACCGAACTACTCAGATTTCACTATAGTTATCCATGCATTGATGCCCATACTGATTATTGAAACACTCTTTATGCTTGAAGACCATGTGAATGTTACATGTATGGCTAAATATGATATATAGGCAACTAACTGATGTAAGACACAGGGGTCCTACTTACAAAGCATAAAGGTCCTAAACAATTTAAGTCCTGAGATCTCCCATCCCCCATTGCCAACCTGATAGGCCATTAAAATCTTCAAGAGATATCCTTATAACGCTTCTCCTGTTCCTGTCTGCTTGGCACCTAATAGAAGACCACCTGTATTTTCTCATGTATATAGAACATACTCCTTCATTAATGATATTTGGAGTCTACTTTCTCAACAGTCTGCAAACTCTTAGAAAATTTTGTTAGGCCTTTAATTGTTCATTTTAATACCAATTTCAGTATCAGTTTAATTTCTTACTCTGCCTTAAATTATCACTGTGAGAAAGTGGGGCATAAAATAGTCAAATAAATACGTTACACTGCATGCAATATCAATATCTTGGCCAAAATATGCTTGCTTGAGCACACTGATAGTGGTTATTTGGATTACAGTGGTCCTAAACTTAGAACCATTTGTTTAGTGATTGTTCAAAGGCACTGGAAAAGGTACTTATTTTTCACTTACTGACCAATGTGGCATCCCCATTGGTAATGTGATTAAAATTCAGGTGCTTGGCAATTGTCCTGTGTTTATGACAATTGCACTGTCCTGGGGTCATATGATCACCATTTGTAACCTTGCCAGCCAGCATTCTACAAGCAAAGTCAATGGGGGAAGCCAGGTTTCCTTAACTGTGTGATTCATTTAACAATTGTAATGATTCGTTTAACAAATGTGGCAAAAAAGTCATAAAATGGGTCAAAACTCACTTAAAAATCGCCATGCTGAGCAATGAAAATTTTGTGCTCAATTGCGGTTGTAAGTTGACAGCTAGCTGATGTACTATGTACTGTTTCATACCTTACATATTGTTTTCAAACTCTTAAGTAATTGGAATGTTTCATAAAGCATCCCAATACGTTTAAGAAACTGAAATAATGGCTAAATGGCTTTCATTGAAACTAAAACTAGCTATACACAAGTTTCAAATAGCCTATATTTCATCTTTGAATTTATACACTTTCTGCAGTTTGAAGGAATATTTTTTATTTTTGCACACAATCACATTTTTTGTATTTCATTCAATTTATACAGCCATCCATTTCACATACATGACTGTGGGTGACTCACAAGTAAAAATGATAAAAAAAACAAGTTAAAACATATTAACCAAAAACATGATGCTATGCTATGATACCATCTTTTATTTTTTGTAAAAATAACATTTGTATAAACACTTCAATTATTCGAAGTGGTTTTAAAATATATACAATAAGATTTTTTTTTCTTCAAAAAATGATATCAATGCACAAAACACATAGTGAATGTGCATAAAGGGTTCCTTTGTATTATGATATATATTAGTGCATATGTCAAGAATGGTAAATATTTTGTCGTTAATGGCTGTCCTCATTTTTTATTACTTCTTGAAGGCTCTGAAGGTGCGTTCTGGTTGAACAGTTTACATTCAATTCTTTGAAGGCTTTAGCATTTATGTAATTTTCTTTGCTGGTTGGGAATGTGTAAGAAATTGTACTACTAATATTCTGTTATTTTGTGCTGGATTTCAGAGAAAGAAATCTAGAAACCAGAAAATCATAGATTGAAATTCATACTTTGTCTGCTCCAAACTTGTTGAGTATTGTTCCTTTTTATTGGCAGCTATTCTTTATTATCCCAGGCACTACCATTGGAGATTTTATAATTAGGGATGTCTAGGATAAAGTACAACTTTTCATAAAAGGCATGTTCTGTCAGCGAGCATAGGGAGTACAGGTGGCTTAAAGAAAAATTGCTGTTTTTCCTGAAAGGGGTAGTGAGTATAATTTTGTTTTAATGAATCAAAACTAATCATGTTACTGAAGCTTGTTTTTTATCTGCTGCATAGAGGTGTGAAGCAGTTTTGAGAGAAAATATTTGTCTGCTTGTTGTTTTTGGATCTGGGAAACTTTACAAAAGTTAGCTTGTCCTTATGTCAAGAATAATACTTCAACTGTATTATTTTATGTGGTTTTTCTATTAGTGGTACCTAAATATGAGCCAGTTATACTACATTGTGCTACAGGCCATACATAAAGAAGTGACACAAATGTGAAAAATAGATATGAACTTGGATCTACCTAGTCACTTGCATTGACTTGTTCACACGCTATTGCCACAATTATTTTATTTGCTTAATGTTAATGTTTGCAAAATTTACCATTTCCACTACAAAATACTGCTCGTTCCTATTTGTTCTTCCTTTCCATCCTTTCTTAGATATTCTATTTTCTATCCTTTCTTATTCTATTCTACTTATTTATTATCTAATTCTACTGATCCAATTATTTAATTTATGTTTCTATATTTTCTTTTTTCTTTTTTGAAAATCTACCATAACATTGATTACTTTTTGAATGAAAACTTTAAAATTTTATTTTCATAATTAATATTGATTCAACATAGCTTAATAAAATACAATCATAATGTAATGTTACCCAGTTATTTCCCAAGTAGCTAATGGCATTGGTTTTCTCCCCTTTATATTAGCTGCTGCTTAAGCTTTTTTTTAGTCTATAATGAAGATAATTTAATTTCAAAATATGTCTGCTGAGTTTTTATTCGATAAAATGGATCTTATTTCTAGTGTTCCCATGTTCTGTTGGATCATTCTCTTTGATAAATGTCACCCCCCTCCTCTTCTTATGTAAAGTCCTTTTGATGGTAAACCAATGTTTCATTCTGATTCATTACTACAGGCATTAATGCTACTTCCTACCAGAAGTCATAAGATTAAGAAGCTACAGAAGAGGAAGTTGCATGAATAGAAAGGCTCCAGGAATTCATTGCCTTCAACAGCTACAAAGGGGTAGGTATATGATTCTTTATACATCTGGGTTTGAATTCTTAGATACTTGATAAGGTAGAGGTCAGTGATTCAGGAGGATGATTTCCAAAACAAAATTGTGAGTATTGTTGTGTCTGTGATCCATGAACTGAAACTTGGTACATTTTGCATATTATCAAATGAACATTTTTGTAATATAATTACATATGGATTTTACAGTATCACTCATTTCCCTGTCTGCACTTCCAGTATTAACTGGTCACTGAGCCATTGAAATATTTCTTACAGAAATGTGAAAAAGAAAAATCCCCTTTGCTGTCCCTTTTAAGGGGAAAAAGTGGTCAACATTACAGGAGTAAACAATGATACCTTCGGTCTCCCCATTTTCTCCTCTTTAATTCTTTTGCCATAATCATTTGAGACTTGGTAGTTTTGACTATTTTTGATAGGGATACAGTATATGAGATTTAACCAAACCTTCCTTTCCCTGATCTTTCCACCCCTTTGCAGAGCAGAGAAATTGGATTTCAAGAGAATAAGTTTTTTTTGCTGTTCTGCACATTGAGAGCAATATAATCATGCCAGCAATGGGAAAGACTGCCTACAGAAATTACTTGCAATCTCTTTCTCTCCAGCCTTTCTGGTCTGCATCAGGGGACATACACATACTGACTGTAATGACAATCACATAACTGAGAGATTGCAAGGATCATAAATGGGCCATAAGGTTATTTTTTCAGTATCATAATTTGAAATAAATAGTTGGTAAATGAAGACTATCTATATTTGGAGCGATATTCAAATATTTATGTGCTATGGTTTTGCAGAAACCATTCTTGTCAAAAGAGCTGATGTAGAGAGGCAGTCCTTCTCACTCTACTTTATCAGGATAATAGTGCATGTAGCAGTTGAGCCCTAGTTATTAAAGAATGAGAGAAACATACAGCTGGAAAAAGATTTCATAAAAATTAAAATTCTGTAATGAAAAAACATTTCTAGAAAATAAATAGATATCGGGCTCATGGAAAAGAAAAAGTCAACAAAGAAATCCACAATTTAGCCATCTGAAATATATACTAAGCGATTCATTGTCACTATAGAATTGTACTGATTTATGCCTCTCAAATATTTTCAGAATGTGTTATTTCTGAAGCTTTGAACTGGGTCTCCAAATCACATCAGTTTATTTCTGAATGCCTTTAACTTCATAGATATATATATAGAGATAAACATAGAGGTAAACACACACACATATATGCCCAGACATAAAAATGAATATTATGAAACAATTTAGTCAACATTTTTTGAAAATGACAATTTCTGATTTTGTATTACATAATTTTATACAGTTTACATTTCAGCATCAAATTACTAAATATTTGTATTTAATTGTTAATTAAAAGAAGTGAATTATAAACTTCCGATTTTTCATAATATATGTAAATAAGTCATTATGGTTTTGAATCATTTTGGATGAACTTCATTGCTATTAAGTCGATGGTGCTGAGTATAATTACAGGTCTAGTAACCAGATGAATGTTGATGGTTGATACTGAAATTTTATATTATTAACAACTGAGAATATTGTTTTTTGTTTGTAAATTTTATTTGAGTTTTCACAAAAAGAAACAGAATTAAAACATCTTTTTTGAAAGCAGCATAATCCTGGGTTACATTTCTTCGTGCAGACACAAATTCAGGTTCATGCTCATTTTTATATTCTATTTCATATCCTATTACAATTTTACATTTTCTACATAGCTTCTCCCCTTTTTTAATTTCCTCAATTTTATTGTATTTATTTCATCTCAATTCAAATCATTATATTTATATTTTTTTTGTCTGTCCTGTTTCAATTGTCTATTGTCTTTTCTCATTAAACAAAATTTCTCCTGTAGTTACTGATTGGAGCATGACGCCTTTATATTTTTCCCCTAAAGTTATAACACTCAATATAATACATAAGTTCCATTTGGATTCTGCTTGGTACATTCTTAAACTACACACAGTATTCTTTAAAAAAAAAAGAAAAGATTATAAATGTATATAATTAAAACAACATTCCATTCCAATTCAATTCTATCATTAATATTAATATTCATTAAAGTCTTAAGATTTTTCACGTTACTTTTCAATTAAATATCCTACTTCTATGGGAAAAAAATTATAAACTTTCCATAATCAATTCCCCCGCTCTTCACTTATATTTTATAAAACATTGACTAATTAATGTGTTCCCATTCCTTCCTAATTCAATTTTCTCATTTATTTTATTTCATTTACTTTGTTCACAAACATTTCACTAAGTTACACTAACCATTCTATCCCCCATTCTAATCGTATGTTGTTTCCAATTTTCTAAAATTATTTCTATTCCAAATATAACAACACAATCTCATATACCTTTACAGAATCCCCTTTCAGTTAGATTTTCACCCATTATCTCTAAATAGGTCCTGTTTCTTTATATCTTGCTCCGGACCTTTGTAACTTCTTTTCCTTCCCTTCTTTCCTCTCTTCTTCTCCCTCCCCCTTTTACCCCTTTGTCTCTCTACCTCTACTTCCCTCTTCTGTATTCCCCTTTTCTGTTGCTTTCCAGTATTATACTTATTTTTTGAATTATTTTTCTTTTCTTTGGTTGTTTTTTTAAATCTTAAATTCTCCATCCTCTTTCCCCCCTTTCCTTTTTCTTCCCCACTTAGAGTTACTTGTTCATTAAAGATGGCTTCTTCTTTGTCCCAGTCTTCTTGTTTTGCAGTCTTGTTGTTTCTCATAGTTCCAAATCTCAATTTCTAAGAATTGAAAAATGAAGCCAAAGGAACCCTTCCCTTCTTGTGCATCTTCTTTGTACTTTTTAAGTTCCATTTTCAATTCATCCAAGAGTAATGCCATTGTAGAAATTTTTAAACAACTACCCGATTGATTTTAGTCATTCAAATATAATAGCCAAAAATCCAAAAGTCAGTAAGTAATCCAAATACACACAAACTGTTTCTTTTTGCTCTTTCCCCCCCCCCCCCACTTTCTCTTCCTGGGGTTACTATTTAGTTGCAAAGTTTCAGTTAAAATGTATCTTTTAGAAGTCTTGTTGAAATTTAACTTTAGATTCTTTTAAAGTCCAGGCAGTCTCCTCCCTCTTCCAGATCCTGCCCTTATTCTTTTTCTCTCCCTTCCAGCTTATAGAAGAAATAGTTTTTAATGTCCAGAAATCTTTATTGTCCCTTTGGCATTTAGTTATATTTTCAGCTTAATTGCATATTAATGCCAAAGCAGATTTTTCCAATTTCTTATTCTTGTCAATATAAGGAAGGAGAGAGAAGAAAAAAAAAGGCAAACCTTTCCCTTTTCACTTTCTTTCGCTGCTTCTGACTCTTCTTTGGGAGCGATGTTATTTCGTGTAAAATTTAATTTCCAGGGTACCTTAGTTATTGCTTTTTCAACTTAGCCCGGTCAGCCAAAACTTTCACTTCTTATCTTCCCCCTGCACGTTCTTTTCCGTTTGAGTACTTCTTTGAGGTGGCCATTTCTGACCACCGCTCCTACTGCCTTCAGGAAAGGGAGTTTGACCAGCTGAGGAGGAGAGATACGGCTCTCCTCGACCCTGCTGGCAGTCTCCCCCTTCTTCACCACCTCTACGGGGTGGCTTAGCCCCGAAACCAGCCAGCTCGGGGTGCTCCAGTGGCGAGCCCAGGCAGAAACCGTGCACGATCGCGGATTCCTGTCTTTCACCAAAGCCACAACTGAGAATATTGTTAAACTGTAAAGTTATATTGAAATGTATTATGTAAAATATTGGGAGGGGGTTATAAGGCTAATGAAAGTTAATTGCTTCAACTTTTCAAGGTATACATTAAAGTTTAAGATTTTAAGCAGAAAAGCACTATACTTTAAAAAAGAATGGTTTCAATAACTTTTTGAGGCATTTATCTCATTTAAAATTATTTATTTATAATTTAAATAAAAGCAGTTATTTATATGGTAGTATTTTACTTTATTTTAGTTCACTTTAGATGGTAGTATTCATTTCAACAACAAAAGAAAAATACCAAGCTGTAGATGAGAATAAGAGAACTAGTGACAGCATGAACATTTTAATGCTTCTGAGACTTTCCATAATTGCTCTTCAGATATATTTTTATGTTATATTGACTATTTAAATTTGTGAAAGCCAGCATGTTTCTTATAGATAAACTATTTAATTGTTAAGCATGGTGACTGCTATATTTCTAACATAAACATCACTAATTGCACAGGTCAATTCTTTTATGATAAATTGCCACAGTTTTTAAGTGAACCAATGGTTCGCTATCAGTTTGCTATTGACTAGTTTTATGAAAACCAAAAGTAAATGCTGGTTTGTGACAAAAGTAATGGCATGTGACTGCAAACACCCATAAATGTGGGTCAGTTGACAACCACCCAAAAATGCAGTGACATGACCACAGGGGAGTGATCATTAGAACTTCGGAACTGAGTCATAAATGCTTTTTTGGGGTGGTCCATCATAGCGTAGGTCACCAGCTGTAGGTCGAGGACTACCTGTATTCTCTAAATCACTTCAACTTTGTCAGAACATTGCTTAAAAGTTCTTCTCTTGATGCAACCTAAAATTACAATTGTCATTTTTTGCAAAGACAATATAACTCACTTTGACAGAGATTTAGCTTTAATAGAGACAATACTGCTTATACACAAATGCTTTGCATTTACTTGTTTATTAGATTTATAGAGTATCCCAATCTGTTGGCCATACATGCTTTGAAAACTCCATCCTTTGCAGATTATTTGTGCTACTGTTCTTGATTGTATGTTCTGCCTATTTTGCTACAAGTGAAGCTTTTGTTACTTATTGCAGCTGCCTGTTTTACAGTCAGTTATGGTGGGTAACTTAACTGTGAAAGTCGGACTTCATGACAGCATGAATGATGTTATATACATCATAAGAATCAGTGTGCTTTGCATTTTTTTTTTTGCACAGTGAAAAATTCTTAATGTGTTTTCACAGTTTTCTGTCAGAATGCTATGTTGTTTGTCAGATTTGTACTTGAATGGTTTTTTTCCTATATTAAAAATTGTTGCATATTAGGTTAGGGCTATCTATTCAGCATCCTAGAGATTAAGAAATTATTTTTCTGTGATTTGTGAATAAATGCTTCATTTTGTTAAGTTGGGTGGAAAAGTGAGGGAGGGTATTAATATTAGCTTAAGATAAAGATCCATTAGTTGCTTCTATTCAGTAAATGTTTCTGGCTTGAGCCAAGTTACTTTTTATTAAAAACACTTCTTGGTTTGAATCAAACTAATTTTATTTATGCAGTGGGAGAGAGCTTATTGTTTTTAACTTGTAATAGACAGTCTCTTACTTATATGTCTCAAAATATTTGATTTCCTGCCATAAGCATAAAATAAAAGGATTGCCTTTATAACAGAATACAGGGTTGGAAAGAGACATTGGAGGACCTCTAGTCCAACCCTCCTGCTCAGGCAGGAAACACTTTCAGACAAATGGTTGTGCAATCTCCTTAAAAACCTCCAGTGTTGGAGCACCCACAACTTCTGGAGGCAAGTTGTTCCACTGATTAATTGTTCTAACTGTCAGGAAATGTCTCCTTAGTTCTAGGTTGCTTCTCTCCTTGATTAGTTTCCATCCATTGCTTCTTGTCCTGCCTTCAGATGCTTTGGAGAATAGCTTGACTCCCTCTTCTTTGTGGCAACCCCTGAGATATTGGAAGACTGCTATCATATCACCCATAGTTCTTCTTTTCATTAAACTAGACATACCTAGTTCCATTCTTTATATATTTTAGCCTCCAGTCCCCTAATCATCTTCGTTGTTCTTCTCTGCTCTTGTTCTGACCCAGCTCCCCAAACACAACAAACCCTCTGACGTGAACTCAGAAGATTCCTTTATTAGGAATGCCAGCAGCATTTCTCTTGCTGGCTAACAAGTCCATCTGGCCGGAAGATGAATAGTTCTCTGCCATACCTATTCATCTCCACCCCCTGCCTTTTATCCTTAGAGCTAGGGTGGGGCCTTGCTAGCAGCAGTGGCTCTTCCTTCCCCAGGATTGGCCCACAGCTTTCAAGTGCTCTCCTGTTCTCTGCCTTCTGCGCAACCATGCTTCAGGCACTGGATCCAGCTGTTCCTCCTCTTCATCAACCACCTCCAAACCTGGGGGCTGTTGACTCTCCATCTGAGGGCTGACGGAAGGCCCAGGCTCTCTTCTGTCTCTTTCTCTGCCAGCTCCATCCCCTCTTCTTCCTCGGAGCTCCCAGGTTACCCTAATGCTGACCCTGATTCCCACGCCGTGTCCTCCTCTTATTTTTCTGCTGGAGGGGCCAGAGGCCGACAGGCCACAACAATACTCTTAGAGTCTTAACATCTTTTTTATATTGTAGCGACCAAAACAGGATGCAGCATTCCAAGTGTGGCCTTACTAAGCCATTATAAAGTGGCATTAACACTTGTTGTGATCTTGATTCTGTTATTGCAGCCTACAACTGTGTTGGCTTTTTTGGCAGCTGAAGCACACTGCTGGCTCATATTTAAGTGATTGACTACTAGGACTCCAAAATCCCTCTTTACTTTTGCAGTCAATTTTTTTCTGCTTCCATCTGTATTTTTATATTGTTTGTGAGCTTGTTTGTTTATTTACTTACTTATTCATTCAATTCCTATACCTGCCCATCACAGGAAATGACTCTGGGCAGCTTAGAATTCAAATTACATTCAGAAACTGCCATGTTTTGACTATATGGAGAATGATATGAAAATATGACCAGTTACTAAGAATCACATGTGTAAAATTGGGTAATATGGTAAAAGAGTAATGCAGTTGCTATGTCTGAAGGCATAGGCATTTTAGAGCAGGGGTGTAAAACTTGCAGCCCATGGGCCGGATGTGTCACATGTTAGCCCCATCCCTGCCTGGTTTAGTGAAGGGGGAAAAAGTCCCGATATGTCACGTGACGACGCTGGGATAACTCGAGTTTGATACCCGTTTTAGAGTGATTTTAAAATTTCAATTATAAATTAAGAACATGAAGTTAAAATGCAGAATCTTTGAAACATTGTAATCGTGAATGTATTTATTAATTTGTGAATTACATAAACAAGATAGGACCTGAAGAATCTGGAGTTGATTTCAATTTTGAAAGTTTCAGTAGTTGCTGCTTGGTTAGAATGTCTTAGGGATATCTTCTTAAAAAGCGAGTATTGTTGTTTAATGATTCTAAAGTGTTCTCAAGATAGACATCTAGTGGATTCTCTCTCTGATAGTTTCCTCTGAAGAAACCACAGGGTGTTGTATGCACTATTGAGTGTCTCTCAATAGCAATATTTAGCCAATATGTTTTATTTCTATAGTAGGTCTCTTAAACCAGGTCAAGGTAGCATTCTGCTTTTGTAGGGGAGATAGAAACCTATTGGGATAAAGATTGGAAAATTATACAGTTCTCAGTTTTTAAATCTAATTTAGCATTTAATGATCACAGATATTCATTACAAATACTTCAAGTGTAAAATTCCACTTTTGTTACGAGTTTGGCTTATGATTTATGAAATTCTGTGTGAAAGATAATTCTCTCTGCAGAAGTATATCAGATCAAATCTAGGCATCATGATCTCTGTTTTTGTATTTATGTTTTTATTTTTAAACGCAATCAGCTTCCAGGTTCATCTTTACAAAGCAAAATATAATGATGATGTTTTCTTTTGATTTGTGAAACTACCTAGAAACCAGAAGAATGCACCGTGTATAATAGTAAAAAAAAAGATGAAGAGTGATCTCAAATGTTTTTTGTTACTTTGAGTTAAACTATTTTGAATAAAACATTTTCATTAAATTAGTTTCTCATTTTCCTTCTCTTAGAAACTATGTTCCAGCTTCCTGTCAACAATCTTGGCAGTTTAAGAAAAGCCCGGAAAACTGTGAAAAAGATATTAAGTGACATTGGTTTGGAATACTGTAAAGAACATATAGAAGTAAGTATCATTTTGTAGGGAACATTTGTTAAACTCTAATGTTGGTAATATATTCAGTTGAAAGTAGGGGGGTGTTTTTTAGAAGAAAGATTATTGTTAGAATCTGAATGATTGTAGCCTTCACCACTGAACTAGGATTTACAATTTTTACTTGACCTTAATTGCTAACCAAAACCTCTAGCAGCTGTAGCATTCGGAGTGGCTGTCAGGGCTGTTTCTTGATGCCATGATTGAACAGGAACTTGGGTCCTCTGTTTCTTTTCCTGATGAAAAGAGATGCGGAGTAACTTACAACTATTTGTTTAGTGGCTGTTTGAAGTTGCAATAGCACTGAAAAAAGTGACCTCACACTCAGACCATCAGACCATCCCTACGGTTACATGATCAGAATTTGGGTGCTTAAGAACTGCACTGATTCACTCATAATGGCCATGGCAAAACAGATGGTAAACAGATTCGAACACATGCAACTCAGTTAATAACCACCTTGCTTAGTAATGGAAATTTTGGTCCCAGTTGTGATCATAAGTCAAGGACTACCTATATATAACTGCTTGTTTGGGACAATGGTGGCCATTTGATCAGCGTTATTTGGATATTGCCGAGAGATTATTCATGGCTTGAGACTTGCTCTTTAGTTTTATGCCTACCATGCAGTTCTTTCCTCCTTACGTAAAAACTGAAAGTCAAGGACTAGCACGAATGATATTACCTAGTTTGGGTAATGAAATGCCTGCAAGAAAACTACCAGCTCAGAGAGCACCAAGGACCTCTCATGTATCTATCTGCCATGGGAACCTTTCAAAGAAATACTTCGAGTAAACATGAATAGACCCGCAAAGTTTTAATATAAATATTTGGTGTTGTATTCTTAATTCATACTATCTTTGGTAAATACTGTAATATTTTGAGATAATTAATAACCACTATAATAGAACAGCAATGTACACTATTCTTTTCAAAGAATGCCTTAAACATCTCTGCTTGCATTGAAAATCCATTTGTTGCCTCCTAACGTGTGACTCTACAGAATTCCTCTTTTTCAAAAGTATGTGAATCATGCTTTCCTTGTATTCACACTAATAAGTTGAAGGTTACAATTACATGACTGAAGGGAATTTTTCCTATAAAACTAACAATGTAGATTTAAGTAAATGAAATATAAATATGGACAATATGTATTTATATAAGTTTCAGGAGTGCGGAATGATTGATGACAGAGCAAATGCTTCAAGGGATAAATCTTTCAAAAACCAAGTGTATAAAAGGGATAGTAAAGTCTAATGCTGATTGTCTATTGGGCAGAAAATGAACTTCATCTTCATATGAAACACTCCTCTGTTTTTTTCCCCACTTGGTATACTGTATATTAGTCACTTTTCCTTCTGCTTTCTTAGTTTTATGCCGACAAGATACAGGGATTTCTTAGTTGCAAAATGGAAAAACAAATGTTGGAAGTACTTTCTCTGTTCAATATGGAAGCTTTATTCTGCTAGGCATACTCCAAAAGAGTAGCACAAGCACCTTTCCTGCTCATATTCCCTTTTACTCTTTTGGGTCCAGTACTACAGGTAGTCCTCGACTTACGACCACAGTTGAGCCCTAAATTTTTGTTGTTACGTGCGACATTTTTTAAGTGAGTTATGCCTCATTTTATTACCTTTCTTGCCATAGGTGTTAAGTGAATCATTGCAGTTGATAATTTAGTAATATGGTTGTTAGGTGAATCTGGTTCCCCATTGTTTTGGCTTGTCAAAGGTTGCAGAAGGTGATCACATAACCTTGGGACACAGCAACAGTCATAAGTATAAACCAATTGCCAAGCATCTGAATTTTGATAAACGATAATAGGGATGTTACAAAGGTTGCAAGTGTGAAAAACAGTCAAAAGTCACTTTTCAGTACTGTTTTAACTTTGAACAGTCACTAAATGAACTGTTGTAAGTTGAGGACTACCTGTACAGCATTTTTGTACAATTGCTACTTAGTCTAGATTTAGATTTTTTTTTCCTTTCTGGTATGAAAAAAAAAATCTCAGATACTAATGCTATAACAAAATAAAGGATTTGTAGTGCAGAAAATAATTTGTTTTTGCAAATACAGTAGCCCCAAATATTGAACAACTGATTGAAGTCAAGACAGCACTGCAAAAAGTGACTCACAGTTACGACTGTAGCAGAGGTCCTGCGGTAAATAGGGCTCTTAGTGATCAGCAGGTAGTTATGGCAGTTGCATCATTCTGGGTTTCCCTGATTGTCATCTTCAACCTTTCCTTTCAACAAGCAAAGTCAACGTGGGAAGCCAGATTAATTACTATGTGATTGGCTTAATCCCTGCAAGAAAAAAGTAATAAAATCTAGTGCAACTCACTTAATTTAGCTACAGAAGTTTAGATCCTAATTTTGGTTGTAAATCAAGGACTATCTATTAAGGACTTTCATGCCTTCAGAGTATACTGGAAAGGGTCGGGGGAAGAGGGGGCGATAAACCAACTGAATTAAATCCAGATTCATTTTAGAAGGAGTTTTAAGTGTCGTTCTTTCATTAATGGTTGAATCCTAGGTTTCTTTAATGAAGTTAGTTAATTATCTTGTATTCTTTTGGATTTGGTCTCTGAGCACTGCTTGGTTTTTGGATTATGAATTTAGATATGAAATTAATAACCAGTCAAAAATTAATAGTATGTTATTTCTATTTATGGTTCATGCCATTTTCTCCATCTTTTCAGGATTTTAAGCAGTTTGAACCCAATGATTTCTATTTGAAAAACACTACATGGGAAGATGTTGGATTATGGGACCCTTCACTTACAAAAAATCAGGTTAGTACATTAATGGGTGAAAGATACCTTATCTGAATCCATTAATTTTTTAAAAAAAAACATAGCGAATGTTTGTTGCTTTACAACACAATGTTAATTTGTACTTCCATAAACCTGAGTCCATGAGACTCAGTGTTCAGTAATTTAAATTTGTTTTGTGGAAGAACTGAGAATACATTAACAAACTGTAGTTACAGCCGTTGCTTCCCATCCGGAAGTTGTCTTTCAGAGAAACAACTGAAAATGTGAAAGTATGAACACATATAACAAAAATTGGTTCTAGTGGTTCTAAATGATTTGATTGCCAAATTTGGAAACTGAAATAATAGTTTGGCATTCTAAACTTATAGTTACTGCAAATAATGATTTAAAATTTAATGTTTGAATTGTCCGTTTTATTTAGTTGCTCATTCTGAGTATATATATAGAAATACCTAAGCAATCTGTTACCTCTCTTCAAACATAATCAATATACTGTAAATATATAAATGTTTCTTTGTAGATTTATCAGGATGAATATTCAATCTTTAAAAAATGAATTTAATTATCAGTGTCAATAAAGTAAACTGAGGGATACGTAGGACAGTATAAGACAGTTGAAGATTATTTACTTGTTTGCCTTTTTGGAACATCATGAACTTAGAACTATTGTGAAACATTTTGAAGTCTTTCCATTATAAAATATAAAAGCAGTCAGATGCTTTAATTTTACATGTCAAAGCTTGAAATGCATGCATGTAGATAATATGAGTATAGTAAATTGTTCCTTCATACTGGTATATGTTTTTGATGCATATTTCCATGAAGTACTAGAAATGTGAATTCCTTTTTTAAAAAAATGATAATGTCCACTAGATTGTTTCAGCATTATCATGAGAAGCTCTGAAGAACTGTGAATTATTTATTTGTTTATCTCACAGTAATTATTATCTGCCCTAATCCCAAAAGACTGGGAGGCATATAATATCAAACCATTACCCTAGCCTGATTTTGCCAGTATAAGGAAAAACTGCTAAATGGATGATGACCCTACTAATTTAATAATGCTTAGTAGAAGATATTTAAACTATATTAAAATGAATTTTTTATGATACTAACTTTTTTTCTTTTTCTTTAAAAGGACTATCGGACAAAACCATTTTGCTGCAGTGCGTGCCCATTTTCCTCAAAGTTCTTTTCTGCTTACAAAAGTCATTTCCGGAATGTTCATAGCGAAGACTTCGAAAACCGGATTCTTCTCAATTGCCCCTACTGTACTTTCAATGCAGACAAAAAGACTTTGGAAACGCACATTAAAATATTTCATGCTCCCAATGCCAACACACCAAGTGGAGGCATCAGCACTTTTAAAGATAAAAACAAGCACGATAGCCTTAAACCTAAGCAGGCTGACAGTATAGAACAAGCTGTTTATTACTGTAAGAAGTGCACTTACCGAGATCCTCTCTACGAAATAGTTAGAAAGCACATTTACAGGGAACATTTTCAGCATGTTGCTGCACCTTATATAGCAAAAGCAAGTGAAAAATCACTCAATGGAGCTGTATCCTTGAGTTCTGGTTCCCGAGAAGAGAGTATGATTCACTGCAAACGATGCCTTTTTATGCCGAAATCATATGAAGCTTTAGTACAGCATGTTATTGAAGACCATGAGCGCATAGGATATCAGGTGACAGCAATGATAGGGCACACTAATGTGGTAGTCCCAAGATCCAAACCTTTGATGTTGATTGCTCCAAAACCCCAGGATAAAAAGCCTATGGGACTTCCTCAGAGATTGGGACCCCTGTCTCCTGGAAATGTTCGTTCTCTTCCATCACAGCAAATGATAAATCGACTAAATATACCAAAGCCTACATTGAATTCAGGAGTTAATATGATGTCCGGTGTTCACTTACAGCAGAATAACTATGGAGTGAAATCTGTACCACCAAGTTATGTTAGTCATACAGGACGGCTAAGTTTAACTGGTAGCTCCCCAGTGTCTCTATCCCAGCAATCCTTGAAACAGTATCCTCCCAGTGGAAATGGGAGGCCGTACCCTCTTGGAGGAGAACCAAGACCACAGACTTCTGCAAGGTACTCTCTTCAATCTGCCAACGCATCTACACTTTCATCCAGTGCATTGAAATCAACACCATTAGCCCAATCTCAGGCAGCATCCAGAGGATTAGCGCAGTCCACATCCAAACCCCTCGGAGCAAATGCTACAGCTGTCGCTTCTGCTGTTAATACTTCATCAACGCAGAAATGGAAAATTTGTACAATCTGCAATGAGCTGTTTCCAGAAAATGTGTACAGTGTTCATTTTGAGAAAGAACACAAAGCTGAAAAGGTGCCTGCGGTTGCTAACTACATAATGAAAATACACAATTTTACTAGCAAATGTTTATACTGTAATCGCTACTTGCCCACTGATACATTACTTAACCACATGTTAATTCATGGCCTGTCCTGTCCCTACTGTCGCTCCACTTTTAATGATGTTGAAAAGATGGCTGCTCATATGCGAATGGTTCATATTGATGAAGAAATGGGACCTAAAACAGATTCCACTTTAACATTTGATTTGACATTACAGCAGGGTAGTCACACCAATATACACTTACTTGTAACTACCTACAATTTGAGAGATGCCCCTGCTGAATCTGTTGCTTATCATGCTCAAAATACTCCTCCAGTTCCTCCAAAACCACAGCCAAAAATTCAGGAGAAGACAGATTTACCTGTCAAAAGTTCGCCTCAAGCAGCAGTTCCATATAAGAAAGATGTGGGGAAAACTCTTTGCCCTTTGTGTTTTTCCATCCTCAAAGGACCCATCTCTGATGCACTGGCGCATCACTTAAGGGAGAGACACCAAGTTATTCAAACAGTTCATCCCGTAGAGAAAAAGCTCACATATAAATGTATTCATTGCCTTGGAGTGTACACTAGTAACATGACTGCCTCAACTATAACTTTGCACCTTGTCCATTGTAGAGGTGTGGGGAAGACACAAAATGGTCAAGACAAATCTAATATTCCCTCTCGGATAAATCCGTCTCCAGGTACAGGACCTGTGAAACGTACTTATGAACACATGGAATTTTCTCTTTTGAAGAAAAGAAAAATAGATGATGATGATTCACCCTCGGTTTTTGAGGAAAAGCCTGAAGAACCTGTAGTACTTGCTTTGGATCCCAAAGGTCATGAAGATGATTCATATGAAGCCCGAAAAACATTTCTCACCAAGTATTTCAATAAACAACCATATCCCGGTCGAAGAGAAATTGAAAAGTTAGCAGCCAGTCTTTGGCTATGGAAATCTGATATTGCTTCACATTTTAGTAACAAAAGGAAGAAATGTGTTAGAGATTGTGAAAAGTTTAAAATGGGTGTTTTGCTAGGATTCAACATGAAAGAATTAAATAAAGTGAAACATGAAATGGATTTTGATGATGAATGGCTATTTGAAAACCATGATGAAGAGAATTCTAGAGTCAATGCTAGTAAAACGGTTGATAAAAAAATAACCTTAGGTAAAGATAATGAAAGTTCTTCAGACAGTTATGAAAATATAGATGAATTCAATGAAAGCAATAGTCCTTTTGTAGAAGTTGTTTCTGATCATAAAACATCTATAATTAGTATAAATGAAAACACAGATGAAAACATATCTGAGGAGGCACCCTTGGAAGCCGTGTTGGAGCCTCCAGAAAAAACAGACCAAAAAGAGAATGGAGGAGATTCAAAAATCCAGGAAAGTTGCTCTGCAGCAGAACCAGGAAAGCAGGCGGCTAATGGCTCAGACAGTGAAGGTGACCAAGAAGATCAGGATGATGTTATTGAATGGAAAGATCCAGTATCAGCCTCTGAAAGCGGACCTGGTTCTCAACAGGCGTCTGACTTTGAAGATAATGCATCTGAAGTGAAGCCTGAAACTTGGACTGATGAATCATCCCAAAGTGAAGATGCTAATAGTAAACCAGGTGCAGAAACTAAATGTGTTGTCTCTGAGGGTGATGGAGACCATTCAAAATGGAAGAATAGTTCCTATGGAAAAATAGGTGAGTTTTGGTCTAAGGACCAGTCACAGTGGAAAAATGCAACAGAAATTAATGAGAAGTTGTCAAATCCACAGATGGAGTGGCAAAATAGCACAATTGACAGTGAGGATGGAGACCAGTTTGACAACGTGACTGATGGGGTTACAGAATCAATGCATAGCAGCCTAACGGGGGTAGAGCTGAGTAGCCAGCAAGCATAAAAGTTGGTTAACTCCATGACCTCAATATCTCCCACTTGACAACTGTCTAAATACTTTCATTTACAATGAATTCTAAAGTTCATTATAACTGGTACTGCCTTTTGAGTGCAAGGTCATCTGGCTAGTGGCTACAAAGCCAATTCTAGTACTTATTTCAAAGTATGCTGTTGGCAAATCTCACTTGAGAGTATGTGCTGTGATGAGCACAGTAACTTAATGTGAAAACTGATAATGCTGGTAGCTCCCAGTTCACTGAAGAAAAGGTTTATTTTATTGGCATTTTCAACATTTATTTCACTGTATATGTTCAGCTGTATGTCTTTTTAAACATTACCTTTTCCACATGGTAGTTATAGGGCCAACATAAGAGCTACCAGTTCAATGTGTATAGTAGACTCTGGGAAAAATTGTTTTTTCATGTATCATTCTGAATAGTTGAAATGTATATTTGTACAGTCTTTTAGACCTACTCAAGTGATGCTTATGCTATTGTTCTTGTGTATCCATCATAGATTTGGTTCTTTTCCCCTTTTTTTAGTGTTGCCCTGCTGTGTAATAAATGCTGTATCTAGTTTACCTAGCAAAAAGCTTGAAACTGCTATAGTATGAATTTTGACAGATTTAGTTTTTGCACATAACCTTGTACAATCTCAAAGAGGCCAGCAACATAAAATATATCTGGACTCTTACTGTATTATAGAATTTTCTTGTTCTTGAATATCCTTGACATTATAACTGATGACTATGAATTTCAGAGACATTTTCTGAAATCTTTTAAGCTAAAATCACATGCAAGAAACAAGTTTGCAGCTACTAATTTTGACACCTTTTAGATCTGTATAAAACTGTACTGTGTTAAAAGCAGCATACGGAAATGAGTGCTGCATTTTTTTGGATATTTAGTTTTATCTTTAGTTAACACCTCATGGTGTTATTCATTTATACCATCTAATATATGACACATTGTTGTAGTATGGATAATTTTGTGATCTTTATTTCCCCTTTGTATTCATTTAAACATCTAAATAAATTGCTGTATTGTGCTTAATGTAAATATTTGCTTTTATTACAAATTCTGAATTACCTGTTTCCCAAGTCATTATGATGGCTTTTGTTGAAAGAAAACAAAATTCAGATGCTAGAATTTATGCCTTGAGAAAATGAAGTTTATCTACAGAGTTCTGTATTAACAAACATAAACTATCTATGTGCAAGCTAGTGTTAATATATAATCTACTGAACCAAACAGATAGAAATGTATTAAAATTACAGTACTGTATATGGATTTGCAGATGCAGCATAAAACATCCAAACATTTTAAAATTCTGTTGTTTTCAATGACAGTTTAAAGATGTGCTTAACACTCCTATTGAAATCATATTTAAAAGTACTTTTTTTGCAAGTTGACAGTCCTTAAGATTTGCTCCTTGTAGTAAATCAGTGAATGGATTTAAATGTGTCTCATACCCATTATTTGCAGATACGCTATTTGAGTTTTTACACACATCAGTGTATGGGATTGAAGGGTGGTGAGTTGGGGAAATAACAAGTTTTAACAGTATTGTCAATGTGTATTTTTGTCGTAATGAGGTTTCTACTGTAGCAGACTTAATTGTAGAGCATTTTATACGATCTTTTTTTTTTAATTTGTCTAGTTCTCAAACCATGTTTTCCTTTTTTCATAATATTTTGCTTATATTTAAATGCCTAGTTTATTGCATTGTGATGCAGTCTGCTGGAGTCAAGGATGTATTTATTATACGTTCTAGCAGAGGGGGGAAATTGCTAAATCTGTACTGGTGTAAACTTGACAATATTTACATTAATTTCCAGTAAAAATACTTAAGAAAGATTTGTTAAAATTTAAAAATCCCGCTAATGCTGTAACTTTACATTTGAATTATTGCAGAAAAAAATTACACCTCGATGGTAAAGTAGCAATCTTCACCTTACAGTTTCTAGGAGATTATAAATTGGATACCAAATGATCACAAAATCCAATTCACCAGAAGTTGGCAATCTGCTATTTATGTTTGGCTCATTGAAAGTATGTTATGGATATTCTACCCAAATATCTGTCATAATGGTTCTGGCCCATTACAAAACACATTAAGCTGTACCTATTCACCCCTGGTTGTAGAGCAACACTTACCCAAATGTGCCCCCCGCCCCCAAAAGGCTTAGTAAGCAGAATTCCAGAGCTGCAGATTAGAAAACTGAAAAAGAATTGGCAGAAGATAATGACAAATCATGTATGTATAGTTGCTTAGAAAACAACATAGCTTGTCCATGAAATTCCAAGATATATTAAAGATTGGCTTGAAGGGACTTTACTTTTACAATCTCCCATATTTTTCTTTATAAGAATACATGGGGAAATGAGACCACCTGGTAGTCACCAGGAGTTGAGTTCAAGTCCAGGTAATCTTTAAGACGTGTTCATTTTCTATCCGCTCTATTCCGATCTGAAGGATTTCTTCCTCTTCTGAATAGTTACGTGCTATTAATTAGACTGCTTGCCTATCTTAGCTTTAGCAGGCATAAATGCCTTTTCATTTATGGTTCCTCTCTTTATGTACAAATATTCCCAAGTCATTTTATTTCCATCAAATATATTCATTGATTTGCATGAGCACCAGATTGCTGATAATTTTTGCAGATTTAAATAGGATGCAATGACCTTAGAATTCCTGTTTATCCAGTTTCAAATAGTGAAACATTTTATATTTTTAAACACAACAGTTGTGTGTTTGGGAGTATGATAAAAAAAATCAAGTCATTTTGGAGTTAATAGTTCATAACAATTGCATATATTCTAGTTGCAGATATCGTAAGAAGTGTAAATAGAACCTGACTCTTAGTTTTCATTGTATTTTGTTTTGTCTTCAGGTTAGTGTTGATTGACTCCCTGGACAAATCCTTGAACAACATTTTTCAGAAATAGTTTGTCACTGCCTTCTTCCTAGGTCTGAAAGACCAAACTTTACCTTGTCTGATTTTATGCATGCAACATGATTAGAATTCCTGGTTTCTAGACAATATATTGCCCTTAATTAGTACACCAAACTGGTTTGCATACTGTACACTATATTAATGGTGCAGAGAGTCTCCTGCTTGCACCAAATACACTTCAGAAAAAGTAGTTTCCAGCATGTCTTCACAAATCTTTTTTCCTTCCATTTTAAACCTTGTTTCCTGATATTTCTTTTATTTATGTAAACATACCTCAAGTATCAAACACAAGAAATAAAAAAAATTCATTGCCCCATAATCAAGACTAGAACACATTGAAAATAGCAGTTTTCTTTCCCATGATGAATTTTGCCCTAATACAAAATGTAAAATAAGGTGGGAAGGAGAATACCCAAATGGTTTATTTGACTATAAGGCAATAAGCATAAATACAGAATTAATGGTTCTGATATTTGCTACCAATATATTTGATAGGAAAATAATCTTCCGTTCTATAAAGTTCAGGCAGATTATAACTCTGCTGTGCATCTGGAGTACATGTCTGAAACAAAAACAAAAAAGTTAAGTTGGACACCACAGAATTAAAATATTTAATGAAATAGCTTTTAACAACTTATGTCTCTCTGTGTACACACACGAGATTGGTTTATGTGGCAAAGATTTCTTCATTATTTCTAACAAGTTAATTTTAAAATCCTTTTCTCTGCTGCGGATTGTACTACAGGGGTTCTGAATGACAAAAAAGGAGCAAAATTAGCTCTTGAGAATTGTGTAAAACAAAGCTTTTGATGCACAATACAGAAATAAAAGGAGCTCCTTAATCAATAGAGATGATGTGCCAGATGCCCGTGTGAAAAATTCATCCCCTCATGTTTTTTCCTCACCACTGTCTTAGATCCCAGAAATTGGATGAGTTGAACCAGAAATTTAATTCTGTTGTAAGGTTCACTTGCTTTGTGTTCATTTGTGACTTATGTCACTAATTTCCGGATATGTTGAATCAGATTTACTCAAGCAAATTCATTGTGGAATAAATGGAATGGTTATACAGAGTATAATACAGATGTAGTGTTAAAAGCAGTACTTTATGCAGTAAATGTTTGATTTCTGTTATGTATATGAGTTTGGCCTAGAGGGATTATATAAATTCTATCATCAAAAATATCTTCCTAAAGCATAATCGCTGCCATCATTTATTACTTTTTTCAGGTAGCCATCCATTTCTAAGCTCTCAGCATGTAGACCTTTTGGAAGACGTAACTGCCAGCGTAAATCTTTTTCTTGACTGTATAGGTAGTCCTCAATTTATAACAGTTTGTTTAGTGACTGAAGTTGCAATGCCACTCAAAAAAAGTGACATGATTTTTTCACCCTTTTTGCGATCTTCTGACAGGCAAAGTCAATGGGAAAGTCAGATTCAGTTAACCATGTTACTATATTGCATTGATTCGTTTAACAACTGTCAAAGGTCGTAAAATGGGGAAAATTTCATTTAACGTCTCCTTAGCATCAGAAACGTTGGGCTCAGTTGTGGTTATAAATTGAGAACTGTCTATATTCTGCTTTAGGTTCAATGCACAGGTTTCATGATTCCAGTTACACTTTGAATAAAATATTGAGAAATTGCATTTAATGCATTTTTTTTTAAAAAAATCCCTATCTTTAATTTGATACAATGAAGTTATACTGACAGACCAAGATATCCCATCCAGATGTTAAAGGGGAAATCCTTAACTGTGGCTCCTATAACATGTAACAAGATATGAATGACAAATGGAATATGCGTATTTATGTACAAAGATAGGAATACCACTCATCAAAATGTGATACCCAACACATTCTTAATTAATGCTTTGCTTCAGTGCCCTTAAAGCATCTACATTTTGCTGATTTACTCTGCAAGAACAAGTCACTTGAGAAAGCAGGCTGTCTTGTATTTTTGTGAGGTATCGGAAATAGGCAAACCTTGGTATTTTGTTATTCTCTCCCTCTAAAGTGCCTCTGGGTTATTAAAGAAATAGAACTTAACATTAAACAGGTTGATGGTTCTGTATTGTAGCTCATGCAGATGCCTGCTGCTCTCACTTGGAAGTTGGAGCGTACAACCAAAGCATCTCCATACCACTCAACTAGATTAGCATGGACTCTGATGAATAAAATAGATCAATGTTTTAGTCCGCCTCAATACTGGAAAAGGGTTTCAGAATTTCTGTTAACTCACAGAGAGGCTTTATGGATAACCATAACTTGCATTTTATTATGGAAGGTTTACTGAAGAATGAGCCTACTTAGTCATATTGAATATGGAAATAGAAGTTTCTGGAGGTCATAAGTAGGGAAAGAAAGCAGCAACTTACTGCTGTCAACATGTACTGAAAGCACTGTCTCTGAAAATAAGAAATCTATGCCTCTTAAGGCAGTTTCTCAACCTTGGCAAGTTTTAGGATGTGTGAACTTCGATTCCCAGAATTCCCCAGCCAGCTAGAGTTGAAGTCCAAATATCTTTAAAAATTGACATGGTTGAGAAATACTGCTTCAAGGGGCTTTCCTGTCTTGTCCTAGGTAAATAATGGAGTACATAAGGTTCTTCCTTGTGGGGGTAGGGGTGGGGGAAATGGAAAGAAAGTAGAAAGCATTGAGTACTTAACCAAATAGTTGCAAAATCCCAATGCTTAAGCAGTTACTTCTTTTGCAATAGAAGCAGCACTGCAGGGTATCTTCCTTCATCTCTCCAGCCTAGCCTAGGAATATCACTGCATGATACTTCCCTAAGGACTGATAATGTTTAAGCTGTTGGTAAGGAGGTATGCAGGAGTATTCCACCTCTCAAATTTTCAACCTGCATCTCCTCAGCAACCATAAAATGGCAACCAGCAGAAACAAATTCTCATGGGTGACAACTGACAAGCGGTGTTTTATGAAAATACTCCTGAAGCATTCCTTACTCCTTGCTTTTTCGCAGCTACAGGGTGGATGGTAGGCTCTCATACTTCCATCTGGCACCAGGCTGATGGTGTGGAAAAAGCCAAACAGCCATTCTGAGGCCTACTAAGTATGGTGAAGAATGTGCATGCCCGAAATGTTGTGTGGAGGAGGGGCCATCTGCCTCCTGGTTTGAGTAAAGGAATATCCTGTTGTGTTGCTGCGTGCAGCTCAAGTAGCTATGCACCAAAACGAAGTGGCTGGAAACCACCCAGGACTTCTACAATTTTTTTTAGAGAAGAAGGTCAACTCTTCCACTTCTGAGATAGCAGCTAGCTCTCCCCTTTCTTCATTGACAAAAGAATAAATGATTGCCAAGGTTAAAATACTAAAAAAACACACCAAGATAGGAACACTGTTTCTCCCCCACCCCAAAAAAGAAGAAAGAAAGCACCCTCTACTTTCACATGCTTCACTTCTCCCTTATGAGACCAGACCTTCCACTAGAATACTGCAAGAATCAATAGGCAGCCTTAAGGATTAAGCCTTTAGCTTCTGAACAAACCTGACCCTTTCTCCTTTCTTAAGAGGCAAGCAATACTGGCTAGGAAAAGAGAAATAAACGTTTGCATGGTTTTGCTCATCCTTGGCACTAAATTAGTACATCCACATTTGTATACCCATATTCCTGACCAAAAGCAACTTAAATAGAAGTTAACTTAGCACAAGATTTCCAGATAAGTAACAAGGGTGCTGTTAACTAATGTGGACAATCCTGGCCTACTTACAAGCAACCTCCTGTAATCAACTACAATAACATTAGCCTTAATACTCAAAATATCTGAACAGCCGAATGCACTATTATTTAAAATCAAATAGCACAATATGAAACAAGGCAGTGAGCAGTGTGCACAAATGTACACTGATCATGCTAGGCCCAAGAACATTTTACAGATAGCAGATACAACGAACAGTAACTATAGCAGATACATGGTTTTATATCTGCTGGGGATAGTAGATGACAGGTGGCTTTCTAAGCATCCAAGTCTAGGACACCAGTTAAAGATGGGAAGTGAAAACTCCCCTCCTAAATTCCATGTTTACTCCCTCTCTTGGCAATATTTAACACAAAAGGCATACAAATAAAACTTTAGCAAGAGAATCGTTCCATATTTTTAATATTAAATATGCATTCATAAAACATCTCACAGGTACCAAAAAAATGCAAAAGGATCTGATAACCAGATTGTCTAACACAGAAAGCACGTTTAACATTTGCTAAGGATTGAGGATTTCCCTGATGATTGCTGCAAATATTTTTTGAGAGCAGCAGGCAATAGGAACCTCCATCACACACTGACAGAAAAAAATGCCATGCAAAGAAATATGGAGCCACGGAGAACCCTAATAGTGGTTGGATCATACAATCCCAGTTATTATATCCATTAAGAAGCATCCTTCAAATTTTTATTGCATATCACTTTTGGCATGGATGTGCATTTTGTTCCATGCTGGGCTGCAGATGGTTTCTTAGTAATATGCCAGGAGGCATTCTCCCAAAAACAGTTAATGTGACTAGGACAAAAACAAAGTATGATTTCATTTTATATGAATGGCAATTTAGATATGAACAGCTAGTAAGAATAGTCTCTTATCATGCATTTATTAATTTTCCCCTCTATCCAATTAAAATTACAATTTGATTCCAACTTCTTTAAGATTCTAGGGTTTTCTAGGAGCCATACACTGCCAAGAGGAACAGAATCTCTTTTCTTCTACCTAAAGCTAAATTTTAATCTGGAAAAGAAAGGAGAAACTGACATTTCAAGAAATCACCTGGGCTAAACAGATACTATTATATTCTCTGATTCTTTAATTACATTACAAAACATAGAACTAGGTCGGTGTTGTAAACCTACATGATGATAAACTCTCCTCATTTTTTAAAATCTACATTTGTGATTAACCTGACAACCTTACTATCTCTACGATCACTCTGGATTTTGTACAAGGAAAAGTTGGCTCTTGCTTCTGCATAGAATATGCAGCTTGAACACCAAGAAAGATGTGAGGTTGTTGGCTGAAAACTGAATCAATATTTTTTAAAAAAACACAATGTGGCTGCTTTAATAAAAAAGTTTAAAAGATA